AGGAATCCCCTGCATTTTTCTAGTTTTTGGTTTGCCTCTTCCCAGCAATCTCTGCTTCAGCTTGGGATTCTTAATTTTTCTTAGGCAGGCTTGACTTTATCTGTTTGGTGGCAAACAGACACAGACAGAGGGAAAGGGCATTTCTTACACCATTTAGCCAATTTATTTACCAGTTAGCCAATTCAGTTACCACATTTAGCCAATTTATTTACCATTTAGCTAGATTAGTTACCAAAAGCAGTTAATTAAATTGAACATCAACAACAAAGAAGTCAAGAGCACCAGGAGCTGAAAGACCCTACACCAGCTTCATTGAGTAGGAGTTCAAACCAAGATCAAACCTAGAGAGATGACAACACTGAAGATTGCTGAAACCTAAACTGTAAAGTACCTTTTATTTTTAGCCTATTAGAGCTGGGGAGGAGAAACCCCTTTTCTTTTGTTCTTTAAAATAAATTTCCCCCTTTTGGACTTTACATTCAGCTTTGGATCCTTTTTGGTTATAAGAGTTTGATCTCACCAGGGTACTGGCGTTGCACACCCATATTTGCCACCACCTTTAGTTGGGTGTGTCTTCACAGCAACTATTTCCATTTAAGAAAGGAAACAAACAGGTATAGTCAGGAATGTAAGTTTTGGGTCAGTTTAGGAAGTCAAGCTTTTCCTGGTTCCTGTATAGCCTTGCCTTCACAGAATTTGTGGAAGCCATTTAGAAAAGCCTGATGGATTCATATGAAAATTCATCCTGTCCTTTAAAAAAGGGTGAATAGATTCCTTATTTCAGACCTGATAATCACTTCTGCATTTGGGTACAAGAAATGATTTGATTCTTTTTTCAGAGTTGGAACTTTATGAAGAAACATGAGCAATGCTGCAAAAAGGGCTTAAAACAATCAAATGAAAAGTTCAAACAACACACTAAAAATCTTAAGTCAGCAAAAACAGAATATTCAGGCTTTAGAGCAAAGATAATCCATTTATTAGAAAGAAAAAGATGTTGTGATTTTGGAAAGGGAAGGGGTGAGAACAGCAATTATTGCAGGCTCCATCCCTTTAAGGCTATGATTTGGGTGAAAGTCTAGATATTATACTTGATATTAGATACGTTAGGTATTATTGTGGCTGTAATTCCTATGGGGATCACAAGCCAGGGAAAGCTTATATTATCCATCTCCTCTATGACGAACACATCAGCAAGCCTATGAGAGTGCTGAACAAGGAGAGCCAACCAGGAAGCATCTCCAGACAAAGCTTCTATGTCCAGTAGATTCAGACAGCAGGTTCTTGGGGGGGGGGAAGGAATATCGTTACATCGAAAGATCTATTTGCTTATTAAAATATTTCTGCCCTGCCTTGTATTATACAATCTCAGAACAGCATACAATAAAATCAAATGAACCAATTTATACAATTTTACAGTTTATACAGTGGGGAACAACTTAAAAAGACTAAAAGCACATTGAAAGTCAAGCTAAAGCAAAACAATTAGGTTAAAACTGTTTAAAGCAAATTAAGACCACGGTGCATGTGCAGATTTGGAGAAAATTAATTACCATATGTACTCGACTATAAGTCAACCTCATATATAAGTTGAGGGCAGGTTTTGGGGCAAAAATTGTGGATTTTGATATGACCTCTGGATAAATCAAGGTTAAAACATAGGGGCATGTAACAAAGGATCTAAAAGATGGAGCAAGGGAAAGCAATGCCAAAGAAATTACAAAATTCCAGCAGGCATAACTGCACTCACATTAAAGGTTATGGATGACAGAGTAAAGGGAGTCAGTGGTTCCATGACAGATTACATTCTTGCTTTTCAGCAGGGGATAGTTCCTTTTATATAAGAGTCAAAGTACAGTACTTACATTGACCCATGGATAAGTCAAACTTAGTTTTTTTTGGAGTAAAATTTTTGACTAAAATTTCTAAATTGTATACATGGCAGTATATACAGTAGGTTCCAAAGGTTTAATAAAAATCATGTTTTTACTTAGCATCAGCATGACCACCATTGGTGCCAGAAGGACCTTTAACCAGAGGGTATTCTGTAGCTGGGGTACCACAGCAGGGAAGGTTCTCTCAACATCTTTCCACAAGCCAAACAGCTAGATGGTTAAGTGTAGCATAAAAATTTTGCATCTATGGGCCTTGCAGACTGCCAGAAATAGTGCAAATTGAGTCCACTTTTAGGGTTAGGGTTAGGGCTAGAGAATCATGGGAACTGTAGTTTATTGTGGCACCAGAGCCCTCTGACAGAGAAGTCTCAATGTCTCAGAAAAAAATACAATTCCCATGATTCCCTAGCACTGAGCCAGGGCAGTTAAAGTGGACTCAATTTGCACTATTTCTGGCAGTCTGCAAAGGCAGTAAGACTCCATTACTGCTCCCCTATCACCATCCCCAGGACTCACTGTTCTATAATTATCCTGTTGCTGGTGGAGAATGGGAGTGGGAGTGTGGATTGAATAAGTGTCTGGCTATATCCCCATAGCCAAAAGACATCTTTCATCAAAATCCTCTAGTGTCTTCTGGAGGTTTCAGCAAATGATCTCCAATCCCTTCTATTCTCCACAAATTTTGGATGGTTATTACAGCAGACTGGTCATTGCAGAAAGTGGAAGAGAATACCAACAACTGTGACAACCAAGGGGAAAAAAGACATACAAAGTTATATAATGGACTTTGCCTACATATAACTTGAGAGTGAACATGGAGTAGTGGTTTGAGCATTGGATTAGGACTCCAGGAGACCGGGGTTCAAATCCCTGCTTGACCATGGAAACCCACTGGGTGATCGTGGGCAAGTCACACTCTCAACCTCAGAGGAAGACAAAGACAAAATCTCCTTTGAACAAATCTTACCAATAAAAACCTGTAATAGGGTCAGCTTAGGATCACCATAAGTCAGAAATCTTGAAGGCTCACCACAATGTCCGTAACAGTATACCAATCATTGTGTGTTGCCTGGACTGTGGGACACAGAGAAAGGAACCTGTTTCAGTTTGCAAGATAGAACAAATTCAAGGTTCCAAGTGGTTTAGGGCTTTGAATGTCATAACCAACATCTTGAATACAGCCTGGAAACAAATTGGTAGATTTGACAGTCTAAAGTTTATAAAAGTAGAAAATGTAGGCAGCCTAGGTACAGAAGTAAACCTGTGCCACATAGGTTTGTATGTTCTGTGCTTCTCAACCTTTGAGCCTTCAGATATTTTGAACTTCAGCTTCCAAAAGCCCTAGCAAGCATGGACAATTGTTAGAGATTCTTGGAACTGAAGTCCAAAGCATTTTGGGGAACCTGAAGTGGAGAACATTTGTTTTGTGCAAAAGATAGTGTTGTGCAAAAGATAGTGGACCAGCTAGAATCATAGAATCATAGAGTTGGAAGAGGCCACAAGGGCCATCCAGTCCAACCCCTGCCATGCAGGAACTCCCAATCAAAGCATCCCCGACAGATGGCCATCCAGCCTCTGTTTAAAGACCTCCAAGGAAGGAGACTCCAATACTCTCTGAGGGAGTGTGTTCCACTGTCGAACCGCCCTTACTGTCAGGAAGTTCCTCCTAATGTTGAGGTGGAATCTCTTTTCTTGCAGCTTGCATCCATTGTTTCGGGTCCTAGTCTCTGGAGCAGCAGAAAACAAGTTTGTTCCCTCCTCAATATGACATCTCTTCAAATATTTAAACACCACTATCATATCACCTCTTAACCTTCTCTTTTCCAGTCTAAACATTCCCAGCTCCCTAAGTCATTCCTCATAGGGCTTAGTTTCCAGACCCTTCACCATTTTAGTTGCCCTCCTTTGGACACGCTCCAGTTTCTCCACATCCTTTCTGAATTGTGGTGCCCAGAACTGGACACAGTATTCCAGGTGAGGCCTGACCAAAGCAGAATAGAGTGGCACTATTACTAGTGCAAACATGACCTAACAGAATGGAGTCATAATGACTTGTGAATGTGACAAATTGGGCAATTGATCACACAAACAGAATAAAAGTTTAGGATTTGAAACTTTCAGAAACTTGAAAATGGGCTTTCCACAAATATTAGAACTTTGTGGTAATAGAACAACAACACAGGATGCAACCCATTGACTGCATTCTTATGTGGTTCAGCTTAGCTAGTAGGTCCACCTGTGGAAATACACTAGGCTGAGCTGTATACCAACCCCCAGCTGAACGGCTTCTGGAATTTGCTCAAGATCAATTCTTTATGGGGAGCTGGCAGAATTACAGAACCTCTGCATACATCTCCACAGCCAGACATGAAATTATTATAGCAGTGCCAAGACCTCCAGAGTATCTTGGAGGATCTCAGAGGTAATGTCGTTATTTTGCATCTGGCTCTGGAGGAAATCCAGCTTCTTCCCCATAAAGCAGGAAATGGCTGAGGGTGAGGGCTTCAGAAGCAGTTCAGTAAGTTGGGAAGACTTTCAGTGTTGGGGAGGGTGAAAGAGATTACCATCTCCCACAGCACCCTCCAAAAATATATGTACACGTGTAAAGGAAACTGTAGAAATAAAGCAGTTTGACACTACTTTAACTGCTATGGTTCCATCTTACAGAAACTTGGGATTTGTAGTTTTGTGAAGCACCAGCACTCTTTGGCAGAGAAGGCTAAAGACCTTATGAAATTATAAATCCAAGGTTTCCACAGGATGAACCTACAGCTCTTAAAGTGGCATGAAGCTATATTATTTCTACAGTGTAAATGTACCCCTACATGTGTGGATGTCCATAACAGGATACTGCCCATTTGGGATCAGAGCTATTCTTTGATATGTCTACACTTGTAAAAGGACACTTAATAAATATTAAGCATTGAAGTTCTGGTGATCATTACAAATTCAGCTGTTCCGGTTGTCATGGCGTCCCTTTGAGAAGTCTTCCAAAACGCCTCTGGACGACTTCTTGGGCAACGCGGCATATTGATCAATTGCTAAGTTGATCTGAAGCGATCAAGGAGTTTCCTTGGTATTGGAAACTCGGACGACCCCTATTGTGCTCGGCAAGATAGTTTGGAGTCCTCAAACCAGACGGACATTTGTCCTCGGTGGTTTGGAGGACGAGAGCCAGGAGCAAGGGAGCGCAGCCGTGATGCAAAGAAACTTCAAGATAAGTCCGGGATGCTTGCAACTTTAAAAATCATCAATGCAACGGAGGTTGCAGTAAGTAAAGATCTTCAAATATATGAACAAAGCTGACTAACTTTGGACACGTTAACTTCTCAAAAGTACCATACATAGATTATCGTTGTGAAAGAAAGAAAAATATCAATTAGCGGGATCAACAGCTTTTGAAATGCTAAGAATATTAATAATAAAGAAAATAGAAACTGTTCCCTATGATTTTGGGAATTTGGAAGAAAAGGTTTATTATCTGGAGAGTTTTGATTTTGCTTGGAGGCTTGGAGGTTTAAATGGTGAAGTCTCCTGTCTTTTTGGATATTTCCAGTCTTTTTGGATACCCATGAACTGCGGAAAGGAGATTTCAGCTAATATTCATCTTTCTATTAATTTGGACGCTTGGTAATCATTTGTTGTGTAACTAAATAGACTTATAAAATATAAAGGATAATTTGAATAAAGACGTAAAAACCAAGAAGAATCGACAAGAAAGGGTTAATACCTCTCACCTGATACCAAACGTAAAATAAGATAAGGTGGGGAGGCGAAGAGAGGTGTCCTTGAAGTTAAGTTAAGTGAACAAAAAACACAGAAGGCGAAGAGGTGGAGTTTGGGAAGGAGCGGACGTAATTGAGAAGGAAGAGCGGCGAGGGAGGAGGCAGAAACCGGAAGGAGCAGCCATAGAGTTTGGATTGAAGAGAGTCCTGAGGCAGTGATGGCGCTGCTGCCATAGAGAGGGGGAGAAAGATCATCACCTAACAAAGAACGCCAGCGACACTATAAAAAGAAGTGAAGATTAAGGGAGGAGACACGCGGAAGGAAACTGAGAGATGGAGAGAACACGGAATTTAAACAAGAATAAGAAGGAGGAAGGAAAGGAAAAAATATATATGAACTGGTGATATTAAAGATAACCACAAATTCAGGGTGTTTCCTTTCTGTTATGTGAATAACTCTTGCTTTTGCACCCACGTCTATGACATCCATGGCAGGATTGCTTTATCTATTTCTTTTGATTTCAGATTTTAGAAGATACCCTTTTACCTGTTACTCAGTAGCACAATATTTCCATGATGAAACAACAGTGGAGAAACCCTGACTCTCACCTCATGAATCGCTTCTCCTTCTGATAGCCACTTGCTGGATACTGTTGCATACAACAGAAGCCAAATGGATGAGCAGCTGATGATTCAGAAATAACAAGGTCACCCAGTGATAATAGGTATGCTGATTGTGTAGACCAGGGAGACCACATATGGCCCACAGTTCATATGTGGCCTTGCTCATTTAGTGGATCCTGGAGTCCACATTGACTTCCCTACCACCAGAAAAAACAACATACAATAAAGGGTCAATCTCACTTCTAGAAGCCTGTTGGAATTACCATTTTCCTGTAAAGAAAGGTGTATTTTCTTATTTTTTAAAAGATGAAGAGGTAGGTTATTGATGTGTATGTTAAAACTGGAAATGAACTTTTTGCCACTCCTGTTTTTTCTGCCCTCCCCTTTCAGTGAGAATATGGCCTATAGACAGTCCCACAAGATAAGCATTGTCCACAGGACCATCTATAAGTGGAGCCCTCTATATATGGTGTAAATGAAACTCCATTTTGTTGTTGTCGTGTGTCTTCAAGTCATTTCTGACTTATAGCAATCCTAAGACAAGTATATCAAGGGGTTTTCTTGACAAGATTTTTTCAGGATAGGTTTGTCTTTGCATTCCTCTGAGTCTGAGAGAATGTGACTTGCTGCAGGTCACCCAGTGGGTTTTCAAGGCTGAGTGGCCATTAGAACCCTGGTCTTCCGAAGTGTAGTCCCATGCTCAGACCATCACACCATACTATCTCTCAGATCTTGCATATATGAACAGCTATAAAAGAAGTAAGGATCTATGCTGAAGATGCTATAATTTGAAGGTGAATAGAAGCCATACATGTATATTGATGTTTTGGTACCTGGAATAGATAACTGTATTTCTAAGCAGCCATTGATGTTTAATAAATGATTAATGCATATTATATGAATGTTATATCTTATTTTATACGAATCTGTCTGCAGCACACTATAATCTGCCTTCTGATTCATAGATTTGTCAATGAGACCTTCCTATCCATTTTCCAGGTGTACAAAATGTTTGCATTCCTATGTAGGCATGGGAATTACTTTCTAGAGTAATCCTGCCTTCTGAAAAGTTTTCACAGGATTTTATTGCCAGGACAGAGAAAGACAGAGATTGATTTAATGTGGCCAAGTGAATTCAGTGTTGAAATTAAAGCTGAGATGGGAGATGTTAATTTTCATTTTTAGTTACTATAAAGGAAACACTGGACAAGTTCTTGTCAGAGTTCAGACAAATACATACCAGTAACAATCATTTATATGTGAACTGCCTCTTTCTCAGAAATGCTTGTCTCTTCTCACTTCTCTCTGAAAATGCAGGATGGAATTTTGAGTGTAAAAGTAGCTGTCTCTATGAAATAAAGTCATTACTCTGGTTTTCAAGCATTTTGATTTATTTTAGGACATTTTTTGGTGTGTTACTGGGACACAATCTCAACTGACTTTTTTATCCCCTTTGATGTCTGATTCCTTGACATTCCTCTAAAAAGGAATTTCTTACGTATCAACTAGGCAATGCGCCCACAACATTGTC